TTTGAAATGATAGGAGTCTGTGTGTATTTGTTGGAAAAAACCTACGCATGTTCCTGCTGCTGCTACTGGGATTTGCCTTGCTCAACCTATTCTTTTAATTATTTCTGCAATATTCGCCTTCAGGCTACCAAAAATGTGTATTTGTAAGGGCTTTACTTAATTCACTTGTCCGATGCACTAAAATTGAACCAGTATGTTCAGCTTTTCGAGTTGATTGCTAGAGGCTGGGAATAGTTGTCAAAAGTGAAAAATGAAAAGTGGTATGAATGTAAATGTATTTCCCTTACACAGATTAGAGTCTGTGTGGCCTCAGTAAATTATTATTTATTCTTTTTAACAGTTTCATATATTTTTTCAGACATTTATAAAGCAATTTTATTAAGAATTCTGATTTATAATCCAAGACAAAAGGCTGGGATTTTTGAAAATGCTTTAGGACCAAAAAACCAATTTTCTGTGATAAAAATCTATGCGTTTAAGCAATTTAAAATATATAGACATATATATCATATTTTTTCCTCCATTTTCTTGGATAACAAAGGACACATTTTTGTGTGCTGCACCTGCGTAGGTAACCCATTGTTGTGACTATGACACTGACGATGCTGATGAGCTGAGCTCGGGCTAATGCGGCTGCTCGTTTTGTAGTTGGCAAAACCAATTCCAGAGTTTACATCCCGTGTGTCTACCACCGGTCGAGTGACTGCCAATTTGAGTAATTTTTGCGTCAGCCGCTAGCCTAATTTGTGGGCATTACTATTCCAACGGCGTTCCGGCTCTAGTCGGCTTAAAATATGAACTGAAGCTCAGTCCCGCCGGATATGGGGCCACTTGCCACAGCCACAGCCCCAGCCACGGCCACGGCAACGGCCAATTCTGGTTGAGGAAAACAAGAAAACAATTTGAGTCTTATTGCACGTTTCAGTCTTCATGAGTGTGTGCCCGACTGTCGTCAAGTGCTCTAAATGGCCAGATCACACTTCATGCCGGGAGTAGGCTCTGTTCGGGGTAAGCCAAACAAAGCGAGGACACGGCAAAAGGCTCAGAAAATTAATCGGCTTTTGGGAAAATAGTTTCTAGGTCTGGCTCTCAACCGATTTTGCTCTCGCCTCGCCCCACATTTTTGGGTTTTTTTTTTTTTTTTTGTTGCTGGGCGGCTCGAATTACAAATGCCCAATGTACCACAAAAGTAAATTTCGGATTTTCCGCCTTTTTGTTTGGCCAAGCAAATTCCTTTGAGGGAAATCAAAACCGATTTGATTTGCCAGCTAAATCGCTTTTAATTGAAAATGCAAACTGGGCCTTGAGTAACCCGTCCGGGCATCGCTTTCCATCTTGATTTGGCAAACAAAAAGAAGGCAAACTGAAAAAAAAGAAAATGTATAACATTCTGCAGTGGATTTTAAATTTACTATTTTCCTGGGAGTGAGATTTTCAATTTGCATTTTAACAAAAAACTCGCCTGCAACCTTCTTTTTGCTGGGCACGGGAAATGGGTCCGGGGTGGACCTTATCAACACAACCAAATCACACGCATTCGTTCGAAATGATTTCGTGGTGGAAATTTATGCGGTTGCCCTGTGGAATCTCCGATTTTTTCTTACTTTTGCCTTTACTTTTTCAGCTTTTCCTTCATGTTATGTTTTTTTTTTTTGGGGGGGGTTCAGAGGCAGACACGTAGAATTCCTGGGCAGCTGAAAGGTAACGAGAGCGGCTGAAATTTCTTGCTCTACCTAAATCAAGGTCCTGACAAGCACGTGAAATGAAATAATTTAAAAATGCAAATTCTGTGTTATCAAACCACTGAAATCTTGTGCCCAAAAATCAGTACGATTTCCCACACTTTTCATCTTGGTGGATCATTGAACTGGCTGGCACCAGGTGAGTTTGTTTTCCACTCACGAATATATCCGATTAGATATGGGATTGGGAAAGGTTGTGGCATTGAGGATTGCTCCTACGATTATGATATTCTTTACAGTATGTAACGATCTTAGTTTAATTAAGAATATGTTACCTAAACCTTAACATTTATTTCCAATAGTTTCTATTGGCAAGACAACATTCAGGAAAGTTACCACAAATGTTCCAACTTTTCTAATATAGCATTATTGTAGTAGGTAATAAACTTTTCATAAACATTATAAAAGTGAAAACGTGAACTTCTGGGAAATATTGAAATCAAACAGTTTTAAGTGCAGGCGAACATGTTCATTTTCTTGTTCGACTTTATATTTCTTTTTATTTTTTTGCGGTCTGCTGGAAACTTCTTCCTGCGATGACTTGGCCTGCCAAGTTCACGCCTCCAAATCGTCCTGCCGGCCTCCGCCCCTCAATTTAGTGGGTGAGCAGCCTCGGGGCCAACATGTCCTTCGCAGAGTGTTGGGGCAGAAAGTTGCTCAAAATAACTTTCTCAAGTGTGGCTGTTGAGCTAATCAATGTTGTGGCGGCTGCCTCTAGTTTCTAAAGATGTTCTCTTATTTTCCTTGGTTTTTTAGAAATTTATTGCCCAAAGTTATTAGCTTTGTAATCTTTTAATAAAGTTTTGAACAAATTGATGGGCCATTATTTAATTTTAAGAGCACAAAAATTCTCTCACTCTAGTTTAGTCCTTCCACTAGGTAAATATTTAAGCCATAAATGCGATATGGATATCCAGAAAATAAATTAATTTCGAATGCAGGCCAGATAGTGATTATAAATACAAACAAATATTTATTTAGTTCATTTGGTATACGGTCAGGTGCTAGTTGGAAACTGGACAAATATGTGGAGCTTTGGTTTCCTCCGTCCAAGGACCTGACGTGGTGCACGTGTATATGAAATGATTATGAGGCTAAAGTTACCATTTAATTTTTTTTTGTATACTAAATTTTCCTCTAGGGCACAAAGTCGCAAACATAAAAAGGAAAAGTTTAAAAGGGAAACACAAACCGGCGGTGGGAAAAGGAAAAGGCGGCCAACGCTACACAAAAAAACAAGCAACTTTTAACTGCAAAAAGTGTACGAGAGTGAAAAAATAAATACGAATGGAAACGGAAAGAGAGAGAGAACAGAATTAAATGAAAGCCACCACAGGCAGTGACATTAAGCGGCAAATTTTTATGATTTTAATTAGCATAAAAGCGTAATTGAAAATTAACTGAAACGAAATACATGTGCCTTTGAGTGTGCGACTGTGTATGTGACAGGCCTACTCCACTCCGCGACAGAGAGCGGGCATCCCATTTGTTTTTCCCGAATTTAATTCATTCACCTTTGCCAAAGCCGATTGCAATAATTTTTCTTATTTTCCACTCGCTTTGATGTGCGCGACAAGCGTTTATTTTATTTATTTAGGATTCTTTGCCTGACATTGAGCTATGTACATATTGCAATAAGTCGGAGATATTTTGGAATTTTTGTCATGGCAATTTGTTTTTAAAGGTTATGAATTCTGATTACTTCTGTTCATTTTGTTGAATATTCAAATCCAGAAATGTCAGCCAACAATTTTAATTACAAAAAGCATAGCATACATTTTTGGGACTATTAGGCAAACTGCAATTCTGAAAATATAAAATACCAGTTTAATTATTTTATGTGAAAGAAGAGTTTGTTTTGTTTTTTTGTGATGTTATCTTAAATATATATTAATTCTTTATGATATAGTAGTCCGACTTTTTATAAAATTGTGCACCAAATTCTAGATTAATAAATAATGTCCATATATCAAATTTGATGAAAATCTGTTAAAAACTTAAAAAAGAATAATTATTTTTCCTTAAAATTTGCCGATCGTTCCTATGGCAGCTATATATATATATATACATATATATATATATATATAAAGTCCACTGATTCGCCATGTTCCGACTTATATACTAGTAAAATTATATAGACGAATAACTCCATAGTTTCCTTTAAATAGTTTGCTCTTAAATTTGTTCCTAAACAAATCTCGCACATGTGTACATATGATTCCCAACTTGTTCTAATATCCCCGGAACGAAGTGACTTCTGCCGGCCAAGTCTCAGATATGTGTTGTGTTACAAAAGTTGCAGGTCATTGTTTATTAGTGTTCAAAGTTATCATACATACTAACTGGTCATAGATACTTACTGATCTTAGTTACTTGCTGGTCATAGTTACGTTCTGGTCAAAGATACTTACTGTTCAGAGTTACTTATTGCTCATAGGAAATTGCTGAACATAGTTACTTACTGGACATAGTTAATTACTGATCCAAAATCACATCGCGCACATATGTGCCTATGATTCCCAACTGGTTCAAACATCACCGGAACGAAGTGACTTCTGCCGGCCAAGTCTCAGATATGTGTTGTTTTACAAAAGTTGCAAGTCATTGTTTATTAGTGTTCAAAGTTAAAAACTGATCATACATACTTACTGGTCATAGATACTTACTGATCATAGTTAATTACTGGTCATAGTTACTTACTGTTCAGAGTTACTTACTGTTCAGAGTTACTTACTGGCCATAGTTACTTACTGTTCAAAGTTAGTTACTGCTCATAGTTAATAACTGAGCTTAGTTATTTACTGATCATAGTAACTTAATGTTTATTGATACTTACTAATCATAATTACTGCAAGGAAATACAAATACTTACTTTACACAAATATGGGACACAAAAAATATGGAAAATTCATCAAGCATTTTGATTTTCTAGAAATTGAGGTTGAACCTGATAACAAGAACAATTGTCTTTTGTATCTTGACTAAATGTGTATAACAAATTACTTTTTCAAAGTTCATTTTTAAATTTAAATTAATGTAAATTAATTAATTTAAAGTCCAAGAAGTATATCATTGAGTTGAACAACCTTGAGTTGAACAACCACATTTGTTTTTTGGGAGAACATTTGTACACAAAAATATGTTTTAAGAACTCTGTTTAATCTCCCCATTTAAATCCCATGCGCTCACCTTTAATTAGCGGCCAGTGCAAAGACATTGTAAACAATGGTACTCTCCCTAATTCTGTCCATCCTACAGAGCTTGTCACCTGCAGCTCCCCGGGGGAGCCAGCGCCAATGATACAGCCAGCAACGGCCACAAGATCCACTTTGCCAGATAGGCCAGTGACAACACAAAACGATCTAATTACGACAGCCAGCAACTTGACGACAGCAAAAAAGGCAGTGGCAGTGGCAGTGGCATCAGCATCAGCAGTAGCAGCAACCGAGGCAACAAGCTCACGGAGCACGGTCGTAGTGGCCCGGGGCATGTCATCAGCAGATGTGGCAGGAGCCACGATAGCACCGACCCAGTCAGCACAAATTGGGCTAACTACTCAGTCCACAGACGGGCAAACAGAGGCACAGACAGGAGCAGCAACATCCACTGTCACAGCAGCCACACAAGCCGCAACAGCAGCAGCAGCAACAGCATCAGCGGCATCAGCAGAGCTGCTCATATCAACAATTTATCCGCCATCAACGGAGAAGTCGACGGAAACGGAAATGGAAATGGATGTGCACAACTCCATCGAGGCCAGCGGCAAGATGGCGGCTGTTGAGAATTCCCTGACCAAGGGTTTCTCCATCCCGACATTCCTGCCGCCATTTCCCGTTTTCGCGGCCGCAGATCTGCCAGCTTACCGCGCCGCTGCGGATGCTGCCGCAGCGGCAGCGGCCAAGTTGGCGGCCGAAACGGCAAAGGCTGCGGCAGAGGCGGCAGCAGCAGTCGCATCCTCCGAAGCGGTGACAATGTCGCCGGAGGAGCAGCGCCGGCGAATGTTTAATGAGCAGCACTCCTACCTGGTCGCCCACCGGCAGGCGGCGGATGGGACGGGACCGGCGGTGCGTCGCAATCTAACAATGCCCGTGCTAAACATCACCGCCCAGATGGGAAACCACGCCTACATGCCATGCCAGGTGAGTCATACACTTGACTTAAGTCAAGTGCTCCATTTTCAAAGTTAATAAATAAATAGAATTCTATAATTTAAAGTTTGATTTGACAATGGGTTTAACACCAAATACAGATTAGTAGAGACTTCTTTTATATGCATTATTTAACATATTTTTATAAAATCTCTTTAATTTACCTTCTTTAGAATCTCTAAAGCACTAATTTTTCTTTCAGTGCATTTGTTTGTTGTCGTGGGTCACATAATCCGCTTGGGTCGCCTTGATTTGAGGTTGAGTGCGGCGTGTGACATAAGTCGGTTAATCCTAAAAGGTTCGCTCAGAAAAGGGGTTTTAATTCGAGATTACATTTAATTGCGAATATTAAATTTGCATTAAATGTCACGTGTCATAAATAGCTGCCAACAGTCAAAGCTGCTTAAAGAAATCTGTCATTAAATGCTGTCGTGGACGAGAAAAAAAAACACACACATCGCATAAAGGGATCTTTGCAAACCGGATTTGGTTTTTAAATAAAATAATGGAGTGTAATAAATACGAAATTAGATTGATTTTTTTATGAAATGATAACGGTATTTTATTTTAAATTTATGTATAAAATATCAATAATGAAGTTTTTGAAAGCTAACAAGATGGGAAACTAACTTCGGGAAACCGAAGTTTGAAGTTTGCAATTAAATTCTAGGATCATATCGGATTTTAATCGTAATTAATCTTATTATATTCACATTCATTGACAATATATGACAATTTTAGTTGGCAAATCTAATTAAAAAAGTCATAACTAATCCGAAAAAGCATTAATTTCAATTTGAAAAGCTTTCCTATGTTAGCTTTTGTTAGGGTAATAAATCTGCATACTTAATTTGAAACTTAAAAACAATATAAATTTTACAAATTTTTGACAATTTTAACGATAAAATTTTAAAAATTAAAAAAATGGCTTGTTACAAGCTTTTGACTGAAACTATAATACCCTGCAGAGGTATAAGAATGCAAAGATTATCATAATAATTATATAAAAATTATAACAAAATAAAGTTGTGTTTGTTTATTATTAGAAAGTAGTCCAGCAGTGCTAATTAATTATCCATAAGAAGTTGCTAATCGGAGGCTACTTCTAAAAGCAACTTTTAATTATCTACCAGTTCGTGACGAGCAAAAACGTAATAGTAACCCATAAAAGTACATGGCAAAACAGAAATATCTGTGTGCCAACCTTAACGGATTAGCCCAAAACTTAAAGCCACACACGTCGCCAAGGACTTAAGTTTTAGCATTAAGGCTTAAATCACTCGAGGCAGACGACCCTGACTCACTTTCGGATTCCCCGGAACTCAAACCAAAACGACGACAGGCGAGCGACAGAACCACAGGGGCGGAGACCCTCCTTCCGCTTCTGGATTCCTTTTTAATTTCAACGGGCCGGAGATACAACTAGCATTTACATATTGCACACAGACACGCTTCGCACATCCGCAGATTCGGGTACAGAGACAGATACAGAGACAGAGGCACAGATATAGACACCGACACAGATACAGATACAGAACAGGACACTTATTTGCATGCATACATATTGCACAATGTATTCTACACATACACAGCTACACAGCAGCCATCAAATTTACATGCGTACGTACATAGGTGTTTCCCCGCCTGTAAGGATATCCAGAGAATAGACTTTAAAAAAGCCCAAGGAACAAGTCCTGAAAGGAGCCGAGTAAAATAATATATATATGTACACTTTTATATATTTATATGTATAAATTGTGCGGAATTGTAAACGGTAAATAGAAGCATGGGCGCTTGTTTACGTCATAAAAAATAAACGTAAACAGAATGAATTGTTGATATGCAAATGAAATTATGCTGATCTGTGCTGGACCACAGCCGACAGCAGAAACCGGGCTAAAACCGGGCTACGAAAATAGGGCCAAAAGCAGGGCGAAAAACTGTAAGAATATTTTAGCAAAAGATGCGCATTGCCATCCCCAGAATCCGTCCTCATTTCCATTTCCTGGACCCAGACCTCCTCTAAGATCTCAGATTTCACGTCCGCTGATATGCCGGAGCCGTCAGATTTTCTTTTTTTTTTTGCAACTTAACACCGAAACGACACGCCTAACGTGGCCGGATTAGTTTGTCTTCCGTGGTAATTATTCATGTATGGATTAGCCCACATCGAATGCAATCTGTGTTATGTGAAAGCTCATTAGCGGCAGATTGTCAGTGATTTACATATTAATAGTAATGTGTATGCCAGCCTGCTTCCTTGGTCTTTGATGCCTTCACAGTTGAATGATTTTCGAAAGGCAAAGGGTATATATGGATTTTGTACTACAATAATGAACGATTAAGTTGAGCAAAATTTAAGTGATTTATATCATGTAAAGAGACTATTCTTAATTAACTAATTGGTAAGTTGATTAGTTGTGACTCTAAGGTTAATAATTGATTAAAATCAATTTCAAAACAAAGCTTAAGGAATTGAATTTGAAATCTAAACAGATGAATTGCTTAATTTTACTTACTATATTATAACAATAAGCTCGTATATCTTCTAATCCTTTTTGTGATAAATATTAAATCTACAATGAATTCGTGATTATTTTCTTGATCTTTTCAGATTCACCGCCTGTCGGACAAGCCCGTTTCGTGGGTGCGCATGCGCGACAACCACATCATCAGTGTGGACGAGACAACTTTCATAGCGGATGAGCGCTTCCAGTCGATCTTCCAGGAGGATCACGACTACACGTGGTCCCTGCAGATCAAGTACGTCCAGCCAAGCGATGCCGGCTGGTACGAATGCCAAATGGCCACGGAGCCCAAGTTGAGTGCCAAGGTGCACCTACAGATAGTCAGTGAGTGTTCCCTGAAGTAATGAACTATAGTTCGCAGAAGATTCTATCACACTTGGAAAATATAAGTTCTTTACTTATTTAAATCTAGTATTAAATGTGAACACTTATTGATAGTAACATTTCTTAATTATACAATTCTCAGTATTACCCAAGAGGTTATATCCCTTTCTATTAATCTTTGTAATAATATTACTTCTTTGCAGCACCCAAGACTGAGCTAATTGGGGATCAGAGCCGCTTTGTAAAGGCCGGCAGTAAGGTGGCCCTACACTGCATCGTCCGGGGAACTCTGGATCCGCCCAAGTACATCATCTGGTTCCGGGGCCAGAAGAAGATAAGCGAGATGGATGAGCGAACCGGCTGGTACACGCAGCTGGATCGTAACATATTTGGCACCGTGGGCGATAATCAGAATACGGTAAGTGCGGTGTTTACGACCCCGGCAGTTCATTCTGCCTGACTGACTGACTAGTTGACTATTGGGCACTGAGCATAAACATTAATTGCAGATCGGCTCATTAATCATACCGCTCGTGCGGAAAGAGGATTCCGGCAATTATACGTGCCAGCCGTCGAACAGTGTCTCCGTGTCCGTGGACCTGCACGTGTTAAGCGGTGAGTTAACGGCCTCCGGGTCAAGGGTCTACTCCTCCTGCTCCTCCTCCTGTTCCCAGCTCCCAACTCCCATCCCATCTTATCAGTCGCGATGTGTGGCGAAATGAATGATTCATATTAATCGCAACTGTCGCCACCGCGACGAATTGCCAACAGGTGAATATTCCGCATCGGCCATCATGTCAGCGGCGGCAAGGACGACGATGCCGTATGGCAGGAGCACGTTCCAGTTGATGCCGGGTCTCTTGGGAGTCCTCGGACTAGGATTCGCACTCCTTCGGGCGCTGCAGGGAGCGATGCACAGTGGCCCAACACCTTGGACGTGACTCGCCTATTAAATGTCGAAATGGCGGTCTTCTGTGTCCGGTGTCCGGATCCGTAGTCAAGTCCTTGTTCGCGGGGTCGTGGCATTGGACTTCCAATTATTTGTAAGCTTTTGCGCCATCTGCAGTTACGTAATTTAGGTTAGAGATTAATTAAAGGCGGCCTTGTAAATAGCGGAGAGCGGCGGGAGCCCAATGGAGCTGGATTGACGGTTCCGTAATTAGGTTAAATGTTACCATAACTCCCATCTCTGCGTGTCTCACATACTCCCCATACTGGATTCAATCTAATGTACATTCAATTTAAAGCATAACGTACACAGACAGACCCATTCCAAGTTGTGAAAATCGAATCAATAATTAGATTATTGTCGCAAGCGAGTTATTAAATGAAAATAATAAACGAGAATCATAAAAAATTCACCATAACATAAATAAAGGCATTCAATAAATCATGTGAAACAGTATTTAAATCCCTGCATTCTATCTGTGCGTGTTGTTTGGGTTTGTCTCATCAGAATGGTAAATTATTTATGAATGTTATCGAGTCCAACTAATTGATTGGCTGTGTTAGCATTCTCTGGTGTGCCATTGATAAAAATAATAATACATCACCAGCTTGAGAGGAATTTGTCCGATCTGTTTGATAATTTAAATGAATTTAAGGGAAACGTAATTAATTTTCAGATTTATTATATTTCACTCGTGATAGTTATCTCTTAATATCAAAATTATATTTGCAATTTTTTTTTTACTTTAAAACTGTTTGGATTGCCTTCAGCACGTCCAGAAAGAAATCATAAGCTCTGATGGCATGTGGCAAAACATTGACAGTGTGTTCATTCAAAAATAAGAGGTCACCGTAAGTATTTGACAACATTAAGCCAAAATAACCCTAAGTAAGCCAAAGAGAAAACCATTTTCTGGGGGAAATAAATTCACTGTTGACCCTCAGCTGACGTGGACGATAAAAGGGAGACCAGCAAGAGAATTTCCTCAATGGGGATATGCATAAATAATTTAATATTTTATGGTAATTTGGCTCCGACTCCGGATCACCAGCCACGGCGACCCCGTTTCAGGACATCAAAGTGACGAAAGGAAAACAAAAATGAGCCAACACTTATGGCCGGGGTAAGGGGGCCAAGTGGAGTGCATAAAAATAACACAAGCCATAAACTGGCGAATTCCAAGGGTCATAAAGCCTTTAAGGTAGCCAGTCTATTTTATTGCAGCGGAAATCACATCTCCGTCTTCCGACAGTACGGGCGTACGGACGTATGGTATAAAAAACTCAGCGAGGAGGAGAACAAGCGACGAGTATGGAGGAAAAATAAGAAACAACACGTAAAATTTGTCGTTGTCCTGTCAAGAAGGAGCTCTTCCACGGAGTGGGAGTGGGATGGACGTAAGCGTAGCAATTTACAAGAAACACAAAGACCTGGGGGCGGAGCAGGGAGCACGAAGGACGAAGGATATAGTATGAGCTGGCGGACGGAAGGCAGTAAATATTTTTCACTATGTTGCTGATGCTGATGCTGATGACTGACTTGCCCGACGACAGCCGGGAGGGTCCTGTGGAAAAGGACGAGAAGGAGGAGCCGAATGGAGAAAGGGGATCCCCGCTGGCTCAAGTCCAACAACTCAGCAGGCAGCAGGGCCCGCGTCAAGGCAGGAAAAGTCAAACAAGATGAAGCCAGTTGGAAATGTCCTTGCCCGGCAAAGTAAAATCCGAAGAACAACAAGAAAAACCGAAAAATAAAACTTTAAGATAAGCTACATAAAAACAGGGAGAGAGTGAAAGTGTAGCCAGCACTTTCAAGTGACATTTATACATATATTTCTCTTTCTCTTTGCTAAATATATTCAATATCCGATAAAACGCCGTTGCCAATCCTCCCTGACAGTTCCAGGGATTTTTTATTTGAATTTCCATTTGACTCGGCCGGCGGATGGCAATCAAATTACAAAACTCGTCTCACACTTCCAAGCAGGACAACTTGATTGCTGACAAACGGGCAATGGGTGAAATATGATACCCTGCCAAGGAAAGTTACTAAATTTGTCACAGATTTATTTACAGGTTTATTTTTTGAATAATCATAAATATAGAATACTTTTAAATTAAAGTATTTTACTGACACTGATAGCATTTGTAGAGTTTCCTTAAATTAATTATTGCCAGATCCATATTCTGCTATTTCTGTGGTGTCTATATTTTGTTTATTGCAAATTATATTTAAACTTTTCCAAGTGCGGCAGATTTCTTCTACATCCTAACTTAAAGGGTACTTAAAAATCCTTGTAACCTCTCTGGCGTTACTCTACATCTTCAGCTTCTAGCTTTTCCTTCGGAACTTCTTAATTTTGCTTTTCTCGTTTTTTGCCATAATGACTAAAGGACTACATGAGGAACAGAGGCGAGTGCTCCCAATGACATCTGGTGCAGACTTTTCCGTTTGTCCTGTAACAATTTGCGCTCCTTCTGGTGGTGACCTACGCCCAGATAATTGGGTTAGCTCCGGAGACAGGACCCCCTTTTACCCCACGACGACTGTCGTGAAGTGCGAGTGCGTTTTATGATCCTTTGATGTCCTGAAGTTGGCCTCCTTCTTGCCATGCACTGCGCTCTCCCCAACAAGAATTCGATGGGGTCTCCTTGTCGGGTTTTTTAAATATATTCTTTGCACTCCGTTCGTGTTCTTGGAGCACTTAGGTTTCGCAAGTTTTTTATGTTGGTTTTAGTTGTCGATATTTGAGCTGTTGTTTGCGGTTTCGCATTTCTGTAAATGGTAAACAAGTCGAAGCAAAAGTAGAAAGCCCAAGCCCCGAAATCGTGTCCGAAAAAGTAAATAAGTCCCGAGCAAATAAATCAGTAAAAATCTTCGGATAATTGTATTGAACCAGCCAAATAGCCAAGCAATTGGCGAAGTCAACAAATTATTGAAGTTAACTTCTTCTCGCATCAGGCTATTGGCTTTCCCACTCACCCTATTAAGTTACGGGGTAATCCCCGGTTTTTGTGACTCGACTGGGCCTCAGATATACGTCAGGACCTTATCGGACATGCATCTCTGGAACGCTTCAATTTGAGGAAGATAAATTGCGTTTGCGCAAGAAATTTCTATCCGAAGAATCCAAATCATTTCGCATTAGCTGGCACAGTTTCTACACTCATAAATATTTGACTATATTATATAAAATATATTGGGTCTTAATACTTTTTAATTTTTCTGTAAAATCCATATTTTTATTTAATCAGAGAACATATTCCTCTTAATTAAGTTTGTAAGTAGTCTGTTCTACTACTCCAATATTGATACTTAACATTCTTTCTATAAATATATGCAAGTGCAAAATACAATATATATTCATGTCAATAAACAAATAACCCTACTAAATGAAAGTTAATGGTGATATCCTGAGTTGTAGAGCCAGTTGACCTGCTTTTTCCAGAGTGTACGCCCGCACTGCCTGCTTCCTCTCTCTTCATTCCTGAAATGGGTTCGCTGTAATGCGCGTAAATGCAAATCATTATCAACAACATTTGCATTGAGCAGCATCGATGATGGGCTGCAAAATGGTGGCAATGCGGAGCATGAGGCCATCCCAATCCTGGCCCAGAGAGCATTCCGAATGGCTCTACTACTATATGGCCAGGCCACCGCACATTGTTTCCCCAACTGGCAGGCAGGCAGGCTATTAGGCCTGATGAATTCGTGCACAGTTTGCAGTTATAAATATTTGCCCATTTCGCAGTCCGAATGCTGTTCAGTAGCCAGTGCAATTTGCGGACCCCGAAATCGGAGGGCTTTTAATGAATACTCGCGGCATCCGGACAAAAACTCATTTCATTTGCATTACCTAATTCTGCCACATACACACGGAGGCACACCGAACGCATGTTGGCCCAGAAACGAAGGGACCAGGACAAAGGAGCTGAAAATTTCACCGAGAAGGAAATACTTTGGCCAAGTTATGTTAGCTATTTTCGACTGAGCCTTTGTTTCCCCAGCCACTGGCAGTGTCACTGCCATCCGCTCAGCCATTGCCTTCCGCAATCTTTCTGCAGATTTGTTTTTTCTTTTCAAACTATGGCACAAATGTTGAAGTGTACATTATTCTTAACTTTTTTGAGTTCGATAAGCGGAGCCAGAAAATTATGATGATGGCGCTGATGTAGATGCCGATGCTGTGGTTCTGGGATGCTGGGATCCTTGAATGCCGGGATGCTGATGCTGATGATGTGCTCCGCCGCTGATGTGCTGCTGATGATGATGTTCGACTGGAGATAACCCACCAAGTTGAGGGAACAAGCAGCAAGTTTGTCTTCACAGCAAATTTCTCTCGTCATGTCTAAGTGGTAAGTAGGGGGAAAAAGTTGGCGAGATGTCACAGAAACCGAAAAGGGAATGCCCTAACAAAAGGGATCATAAAGGGAGAAAAATATTGCGTAATAGATATAAAAATATAACTAATTCGGTGCTCCAAATATGATCTTTAAAATCATGATAAGTTAATGTAATATTAAGATATCCCTTTATAATTTAGAAAGCTTAAATAAATGTAAATCTCTTATTAGTTGTTTCACAAACTATGTACTTTTACCAACAAATACTAGTGTATTCTACTACAAGTCAAATAGTTGGGTTCACATCCCTTTTTCTTCTTTTACAACACGTGATAAGCAGAAGGTCCTGCCGCCACTTGTGCTGGGTTCATTCAACCTTCATTTCATAAACTAAAACATAAATTGTGCCTTTTAGATTTTGTTGACAATTTTGGAAAGAAGAAAAGTTATCATTCGGACGCCAAGAGCAGACAGAGATTTCATGTCGGGCAGTGCTAATTAGTATCTGCCCCAGAAGGAAACGCAATAAATTTGAAAGAAAACTTTGTCTGCAGGAAAGTTACTTCGAATTATAGCAACTTCAGCTCACGCCGCCGCCCATTTGCCAATTTGTATTGGTCGTAAACTTTGGCACTCACCTTGCGGCTTTAATTAAAGCAATTGCAGTACAAATTTTAATTATAAAATGCTTCGACCCAGCGGAGGCACAATCAAATTATATGTTTGTTTACACTTTTGTGGTACCAATCCGCTTCGTTCCATTCCGCGCTTTATTTGCCAAGCCAGACAATTGTTTTAATTTTCTGCACGTCGGGGCGGCGTTTAGAAGGCAATAAAAAATTATTGGCCAAAAGCGCAATTAAAAAAGTCGAGCAGGGCACACGGCTTACACTTCGACTTGGCCATTGGCTTAACGAACTCGAGCCAACTTTTTTACGGCCCGAACATATTTATTATCGTGCCCGGACCAGGGGACCTAAGCGAATTGTTTAGTAGACATGCTTTTACGGCTTATCCCTGCTCCCATTTTATGACATTCTTAAGCAAATA